ACACCCTCACATCCACACACATACCCATACCCACACCCACACCCTCAGGTGTCACATGTGAGATCAAGGACACAAGTAAACACCATAAATGGAAAATGCATTTTAGCAAGGCTGATTCTGTGCGTAGCAAAGACATAGCCATCCTTGCGCTCTAATATTTTGGTTCCATCTCGTCATGGCACGGGATACAGACTGAGCCTTCTCAGGAAAACCTTTTACATTCGATAAGCAGAAGACCGAATTGGTGGCGAATTCTTTATGAGAGACAAGTGAGATAACCTTGCCAATGAAGTTTTAAATATGATCGAAAAAGAAAAAGTAGGGTTTGGAGATGGTACCGTAACAAAAAATTCATTTATTAGGAGGCTTTTGAGCAGAAACAAGGAATATCATAGGTCGTTCTTTCTCCTCATTCAACGAAGGGTTTTCGATGATCTGTTGTGCAGTGGGCCCCCATTCTTCAACATGCGTGATAATAAACCCTTGCTGAATGAGCAAGTTGAGGTAAGTTCCGATCATGCGATGTTGCTTAATAACGCTTTCACCCAACCAACTGGTTACACGGCGTCCTTCTGCCTGATAATTGTTCACAGGCCATGTTTTTTGTCCATCTTTGTCGATTATCCATTCGGGATGTTTTGGAGCGGAATAAATCGGATGTTCTGCAGAAAAGACTAAATAACCACCCGACTTTAATGAGAGATAAATCGTTTTCAGCAGTGTGGGCAAGTTTTCAATGTAATGCAATGTGAGTGAGCTGTAGGCCAAATCGTATGTATCTTCGGGGAGTTTGAGCAGCTCCAGGTCTTGTTGATGATAAACAATCGCGCTATCCAATGTCATCTCTCTGGCTTTGTTTAGCATTTTCTCAGAAATATCCAGGCCGAGTACGTGTTTTGCTCCCTTGTGGCGTGCATCACGACAGAACCAGCCGTACCCACAACCAAGATCGACAATACTAAGCCCCTGCATTTCAGGCAGGATCTTGAGAATGGAAGACCATTCCGGCGCACCGTTCAGCCCATAGAGTGAACGGTTAAGCTGGGCATAGCCATCAAAAAAGTGCTGATTATCATAAATATTTTGTGCCATTTACGCTCTCCAAACAAGGTATTGGGCATAGGCTAAAATAGAAAAGAGCAGATCAATTCGATGTTTCCGTTATTTCATATAGCCAAAAAGAATTTTGGTTTTAGACGAGTAAGGCGGATGTAGCACAAGCAATGACT